TCCCTATACTTAGGAGTGCATATCCTTTTCACTTGTTTCTTTCAGCGCTGCCCTTGCTGGAAACAGACATGACCTTCTCCATTTCTAATTCTTCCAGCCACTTGGCCTCTTCCTTTCTCTTAGTCCCACCAGCATTTCACTATGCTCTGAAGAATCCAAGGTTTTTTTCCAGAGCAATTACTACTTCATTGCTGAAACATCTCGATTCCTTGACTAAGAATGAATTATTTCACATTTTAGCTATTAAGGAGTAGGAAAGTATTGTTTTTAATAAAGCATCAGTAGGAGGAAAAGGGGTTGGTAAAGGGGAATGAAAGGTCAAGAAACAGAAGCAAATGTTACTATGTTTGAAATCAGCCCTTGAGACCAGCAGTGCCAGGTCCTCTCTCAACCCTGCTCCAATTTTCACTACACAAGGTGTGATTTCATTAGATGAGGTGAGGGGGACACAGCAGTTTGCGACCTATGGAAGGGACCTGCCTACTTTTGCATCATTTCCACTCCTCCTCTTCTACTTGCCAGCCTTGACAATCAGTCAACCTCCATGTAAGTCAATTTGATGCATTAAACCAGCAGAAAGCAAACAGAAAAAGCAAAATCAGATTTAAGCCATCTCTGCAAAGAATCACAAGCAGAGCCAGAACAAGCACTAAGAAAAGACAGGGCAGCAATACTATGAAGGTTGGGAGCAAAGCAGGAAAAGGCAGAAAATGGGGAGTATGACATGTCCTGTATTTACTGATGGTAGTAATCTGTTCAATCAATTGCTTGGCATGTGAAACTTTACACTGATGACATCTACGGCTGCTTTCCATCAGTTAGATGAACCAGTTAGCAATATATTCTTTGTGTAGAAGCGTTGACTTACAGAGACAGTGTAGCAAGACACAGCAAGTCCAATACATCTTTTTTGGCTCCCACAAATACTAATTGACACTGTGGTTAAAAAAGTGGCAAAATATACGTGCTGCCTCAAAAAAACTAAGTATACCATAATGTAGAAATAGAGGCAAGTTTTCTTACATGCACCTACTACCCAACCTGCAAAAGTGATGGGATTAACTACAACCTTGCCTCCTTTCTTTTTATTTCAACACGAAAAAGACTTTTATTTAGTGAATCTGAAACATGTTCTGCAGCTTGCAGTTTCCAAGCTTATCAGGGCAAAGTCTATTCGAATTCAGACCCACTATTTGGTATTCAACAATCTACCTCTTGCTCAAATGAGCAAAATGTAATATCACTAACCAATCACTAGTCCACCAAGTAATAGTCACAAAAGAACTTTAACCCTTGGCCCAGCTTTATTGAACAGCAATGCTTATCAGTAGCTTGTTTTTAAAGCAACATTATTCAAACTATCTTTTACAAATTTTATATTGCTTTTTAAAGCTTTCAAGCAGCACTTCAGGTGAACAGGTCACCTTCAATGAATTCCTTTCACACGAAAGGAGTTCTGCAGTTTTTACTTTAATGCTCAGTATTTGATTAATGTTATTAGATGCAGCCACAGAATAAATTTCACTAAGTGAAATGCTGCTTTTCATTTGAGACTTCCCTGCAGTGGCTAGAGAAGCCCTGTTTTGTTAGTGCAAAAAAGGAGAAAGCAATTAAGGCTTAAAATTTCTCAGGGTCAAACAGCCACTGGCATCAGAATGAAGAATAAGACTGAAATTTGACTCAGTCCCCTCACCCACTACCCAGGGCTAACTATAAAGTTAAAACTCTGCAATGCTAAACTTGGTGAATTAAGCAGGGCTTTGTTAAGTGAGCCTTTGCAGGATGCTTCCCTGCACCACAAGCATCTGCAATGGTTTTATCCCAGTCTGAGAACTCCTTTTATGGACAAAACAAGCAGAATTTCTTGTTGGCTAAGCTTTATTTGGCTACGGTGAAACTACAGGACACACAGGTGTTTCCCAGCTTCCCAGTCTTTACATCAGCTCTGTCCCAACATGTTTAACTGGACTTTGGTTTCCATGAAATGACTGAAGACCTAAATCCTTAAACCTGGGGAGCAGCTACCCTAGGGTTTGTGTGTACTCACTGGCCACAGGGGAAGGCCCTCAGCAGCCTCACTCAGCACTGATGATTAGCAGTCTGCAGTATTTTAAAGCCTACTTATGCCTGTTTTCTATTGTTTTACAGTTTTATTCTTTATAATAATTTTCTAATCAATTGTCAGGTTTTAGTTACTTGTTCACAATAGATTTCAATGCCGTGTTTATCACTAAATTATGTATCTATTTCAATGCCAAGCTCCCTTGGGACTGTTAAATAATCAGCACCAGCTCAAATTATCAGTCAACACAATACATAACATTAATAAATGTTCTTCATAATTTGCTAAAAGATGGCTGTGATTTTGCAAGGCAAAACAAAACTTATTTAGAATTGAGAGCTCTGTAATGGAAGTGCAAGGACTGGACTGGTGTGAGCTACTTCCACCCTTCTTTCCCATGACAGAATTGCATACCCAGAAAGCTGACTTTTGCTTGCAACTGTGTTTTCAGAAGCTTCATGTGACAAATGGTATTTAGAATTCTGAAATAATTTAGGCCTGCCAAAGCAAAACATACTTCATAGTCTAAATTTAAATAGTATTTACCATAAAAATCCAGTAAGATTAAGGACCATGTTTTAATTTCACATGAGTTGTGTCAGATAAATTATGTTCCTATTAAGGCTTGTTCTTACAAAATCTATAAAGAAAAACATTAACAACTGCTGTGTTAATGATTTAATTCATGTAAGAATACCGACAGAGCTGCTTTTAACTCCTTAGAGCAAATGTATGTTTAATACAAGTCCTATTCCTACCTTACTCGTCTCCAGCATTTAAGATTGAGTAATACTGTCATCAAGCTTTGTGAGGATCTACTTTTATCTAATGCTTTGTATACAGAGGTGCAAAAAAAAGGCAGAAAAGAAACAGTGACTGTTAATTAGTTCTGGTCATTTGACAGCGATATTTTGATAGGCTTTTCTTTCTCAAACAAGACACTTAGAAAGTCATAAACTATGGAGGAAATAACAAGCACATACTAACACCTGCAAATAAGGAAAACCTTGATTATTTGAAATCCTTGATGCAAAATACGTGAGCAGCTGATCTAGCCTCAAGCCTGTTTGGAATTTTCAAGTTCAGTTTTCTCAATATTCCAGTTTTGCATATTTTAATAATTTTTATTTTTTTTAATAGAGTTACTGTACCAGAAAATGCTGGTATGGAATGAAATGCACTGGAATGGCTTACCAAGGAAGTTGTGAATGCTCCAACCCTGGAGGTGTTCAAGGCCAGGTTGGACAGAGCCTTGGGCGACATGGTTTAGTGTGTGGTGTCCCTGCTCATGGCAGGGGGGTTGGAACTAGATGATCTTAAGGTCCTTTCCAACCCTAACTATTCTATGATTCTAAAAAGAATAACTGCGCTGGTCTGGCACACAGGACCCATTGTGGAAATGTGGAACAGATTTAGGCAGTCTCTACTGAATACAGATACTTATTAATATGAAATCAAGCATCTCTAATGGGAGAAACTGAGATTTCTTATCAAAAGCTATTTGAAGGCCTAGTGAACAAGAAGTTCAAATCTCTCCAGTCACAGAAGGAAAGCCAGGTCACTAAGTAACTTAGAAGTTCAGCACATTAAAGCCTTAACTTCACGAACACTCCAATGTCAGTACAAGCCAGAAGTCTACCAAAAGACACAGTCCCAAACTTCTCCATCACCTGTAAACTCCCTCTCTCCTCCCCACCATCCTCAATCCTTCTTGTATCAACAGAGTTGGAGATCTGGTCCAGGGAACTGAGGATTTGTTGGGTTTATTTAGTTGGAGGTGTTTTGTTGCTTTACATAAGCACATTTGGCAGGGTGGCCTTAGTTTTGCATTCAGAGCAGCTCCCCTATCCAGTTTATGTTATGGCGATGCAGATGTTTGCATGAATGAAGAGACAGAAATG